CAAATGTGTTATTCTTTGCACTTCAATTTCAAATTAAGATGTGCGAGAATTTAAATGAGACATAGAATTCACTTTACGGGAAAGTTTAGGCCTTACTTCAGGAGGCTTTACCTTTTTCCCTAAAGATGGGATGTTGTCTCATCAAAATGACAATCTGCAGAACGTACGGTAAAGAGATCGACTATCAAGGGTTCAAGATATCTGATGATAGATGGTGAGTCATAGCCAACATATATACCCAAACGACGTTGGGGGTCCATTTTGGTGCGTTGAGGGGGTGTAATTGGAACTTGCACAACACAACCAAAAGTTCTTAAATGGAATATATATATTAGGCTGATGTCCAAATACAAGCTATATTGGAGAGTATTGATGATATGCAGTGGGTCTTAGGCGAATTAATGCCGCAGCATGTAAAACAGCATGAGCCTAAGCAAATGTCGGTAATTACATACGTAATAATAAAGTTCTTGCAATTCATTGAATACTCTTTATAGATGACTTTGCATACCATTATGGGTATGTACATGTGGTACTGGGTGCTCAACATAATTCCAATTGTTATACAATAGTCATCAAATGCCTTTGAGGTAAACTCACCTGCATTGTCTAGACAGATTGCTTTAATTGGGTAATCTGGAAAGTGTGCCCGTAATCTGATAATTTGTGCCAACAATCTAACAAAGGCAATATTGCGGGTAGATAGTAGACAAACATGTGACTATCGTGCTGATGCGTTAATCAGTACCATAAAGTAGCGAAAAGGTCCACTTGGTGGATAAATAGGTCTACATATGTCCCATTGAATTCTTTGTAAAAATGATGGGGATTTTACACCAACTTTAGTGATAGATGCTTAAGTGCCAATTTGCCTTGTGAGCAAGCAATACAAGCACTCTCATTAGGTAACAGAATCTTTAGGTTCATTATTGAGTGCTCATGTAAGTTTTCTATGATTCTACGCATCATAGTAGATCTTGGGTGACGGTTGTGCCAAATTTTAAAAAGTTCAAGATCAGTGAACTTCAAGTTCATAACTGCATAGATTTCAACATTCTTCAGGAATGTGTAATATAACCTTGGTAACACGAGTGTTGCTCTTCCGGAGCCCTCAATTATGTTTGCAGATCCCAATATAGTATTTATTTTAACCTCAGTAAAGGTCAAACTTGAGAAATATTTTCTATCCCAAAGGATATTGTGCGTTGTTGCATTGTCTACTATACAAATATCTTTACCATTATTAGATATCGATATCTCAGTTTTGAAGTTCATATTTCAATGAGAGTGCAACATTATACTAGTTAAACTCTTCGTGCTGATAACGTATTATAATTTTAATGGTACTATTAAGTAATAACTTAGAAAAGGTAAAATAAATAAAGTAAATAACAGTGGACCAAAATGAGGGAATTGAGAGATGGGATTGTTCCTCAAAATTGAAATTAACTAGATTGATCTCAAATGAAAGGGATGGGAGAGTATTTGTGCCTTCCCTTCACCGTCACATGTTAAGGCGGTGGATGGACACATTTTACAACATTTTCAAACTTATAAATTCAACGTGCATATAAATTCTTTTTTGTATTTCGTGAAAAATAGTTAAATCACGTGATAAAAAATTTCTAGTTATTAACATCTAAAGTCTCAAGTATGGGACCCTTATTTTGTAATATATACAAAATTCAATTGATCACATGATTTTATTTATCGACCAAGTTTCATGTGTCTTGCCAACGACATAAACGATATTGTCACATGTGTATGTAAGCATTTTATTTATCTAATTAAATTCTGATTAAAGCTAATGTCGGTTTTTGTGTTTGAATGAAAGCTGTCTAGAAACCTCAAACCACATTTGTCTTTGATTTTTTTTTTCTTTTCAGAACAGACTCTTCTTATTTATTTTATTTTAGAAAATCTAACTTTTCTATTTTTAATTTAATATTCAACAAAAATATCAACAATATAATATATATTTTAAGGAGGTGACGCGTGTATGTTTGGTCCAATAACCTGCACATCGTCGGCGGAAAACAATTACCTGTGTTTCCTTTTACATGACAAGTTTGGGGTTGATTGATGTAAGTGGGGTTGATACTTGATCATGTCATTATCGGTTTCCTGATATTTTACCTAAATGATGAAAAAGCATATCACGCTCCTTTCCAGAACGGGATAAATACGCGCTCTCCATGCGTATTTTAAAAGTAGATGTTATCGTATTGTATTACGTAACGTTACGTAACGCAAGTGTCTGAAAAAGCAAATGCTTCCACTTGTGGGGTGTCGGATAAAATTAGGCAGAGAGCAGTTGAGGCAAAACTTTTACCATAGGATTTTTATATGGATAAGAAGCAGAATATCGTATTCATGCCGCAACTTGCTTCTTTATAATTAAAATTATAACATCCCAATACGCCCACATAATTATTTGTTCTAGTTAAACTTTTTTTTTTTTTTTTTTTTAATACAAGATGAGTTACTTGTATTTTTAAATTCAGCCTCGAAATCTCCCTTCATAATGTTCATATTGAACCTCTCAAACTTGGAGAAAAATTAATCCTTACAGGTCTCAATCATGGATGCTAATTTTGGATTTCAACAAGCGCTATCTGTGGCCCAACTAAGGCCCAATCCAAACCCAATTTATTAAAGTTTTTTCTTTTCCAGTCATAATCTTGCGATACGCGATATGTATCCTATGATACGATACAATACGAGTTATTAACGATACATATTAGAGAGTGTATCATAAACCTTTCGATATGTTGATATGTATCATATGATACGATACGTATCAGTTTGTATCCTTAAAAATATCAACACAAATCGATACAACTTTATTAATTTGTCAAAAAAAAATTCAGGTTGGGTTGAAATAGATCGGGTCGGCTTCGGGTCATCCAACCTGGTTCACTAGAACTCGCCCAAATTTACCCATTCTGTATGAAAAAAGTGAAGAGAAAGATGTGTTGCCCATTTTGCATGATAATATATATATATATATATATATTAATTTTAGAAATGATATGAATGGTTGAAAGGAAATGATATAGATCCTTAATTTTGATTATATAAAACTATAATTTAAGACCAATAATATCACAAAATTCTTTAATTAATCTTGGAGATAATATTAATTTTTAGAAAATTTTTATTATTTTTTTTGAAAAAGACATATCATACGATACAATACGATACATGATACACGATTCAAAAAAATTAGGTTTTTAATACATGATACGATATAGGATTTGACAGTTGTCAAATCGCATATCGTATCGTGTATCAAAAACTTAATTTTTTGAATTGCGTATTTTATCGTAGGATACAATTTTTAAAATAAAATGATAATAAAAAATTTAAAAATTAATATCATCCCCTAGATTAATTAACGAATTTTGTTATATTATTAACTTTAAATTATAGTATTACATAATTAAAATTAATTACAAAATTAAGAATTTATATCATTTTCTCTCAACCATTCATATTATTTTCAAGATTAATGTCAATATCTATATTTCCACTTGTGTTATTATTATCATACAAAATGGACAACATATCTTTCTCTTCACTTTCTCTATGCAAAATGGACGGGTTTTAGTGAACTGGGTTGGGTTATCCAGACCCGACCCGACCCGATTTTTTTTTTTTAATTTAAAATAAAGTCTTATCGATTTGTATCAATATTTTTAAGAATACGAACAGATACGTATCGTATCGTAGGATACATATCAATGTATCAAAAGATTTAGGTTACACTCTCTAATACGTATCGTTGACGACATATATTGAATCGTATCATAGGATACGTATCGCATATCGTAAGATACTAATAATTATAAACAAAACTATTCTATTCCTCTTGTTTTTGGACAGAAGCCACATCTTTCTCTCCATCGTAGATTTCCAGTTTTATTTGTGTTCAAAATTGGTTACCAAAAAATTTTCATCTCAAATTCCCCTTGAATTCAATGATGATACCTAGGGCTGTCAGACGAGCCGAGCGGCTCGCGAGCTGGCTCGACTTGACTCTTCTGAAGCACCTTTATGACTCGGCTCGTGGTTAACCGAGTCAACTCGACTCGAGCTTGCTATATAAAACAAGCTGAGTTTGAACATGGAGAGGCTTGGCTCGTAGGCTCGCTAGCCTGATGTGGCTCCACTAAGCAGGGTTCCATTTGTTATATTTTATAAATTGTGGAGACTGAAGTGTTATCTATATTCTTTAGTTTTAAAATTTTATAAAAACGACATTTACCCAATATAGTTTTTTCTAAAACACAAAATTAAACCTCCAAATTAGATATCTCAAATCGACAAACCCTAACCCCTAAATTTGTTCTTGCAAATATTCATAATCAAAATCACCACAATGATTGCGTTGAGAAAGAAGACAAAGATGAAGATGGAGATGGAAAGAACAGAAGTCTACATAACTCGTGATGCTCTGCAAGATGAAGATAAGATGGAGATGAAGATAAAGATGAAGATGAGATGAAGACGAAGATGAAGATGAAAACAATGATGAAAATAAAGATGAGACGAAGACGAAAATGAAGATGAAGATGATAGAAATAAAGACGAAGAAAATGATGAAGATGCAGACGATGGAGATAAAGATATACAGATGATGAAGATAATGGAGATGACGATGCAGATGATGAAAATGAAGTCGACTCTACTTGAACTCAACCAAGCTCGAGTTCGGGTCCCTTTTCTCTAACTCAACAAACTTAAGCTCGAACTCGAACTTGAGCTCGATCCTGTAGCAAACAAGCCAAGCTTAATAAGTCGAAAACTCGACTCGGCTCAGCTCGTTTACAGCCCTACTGATACCATACCAGAGTGAATGAGTAATGATCCAATAATATATAAAGTTGATTCTCAAGTCCAAGCTAATATAGATAATTAGATACCATAAACCTTGATGCTGCTGCAACTACTTATAGTACTTGCATGAAAATAATAGAGCCTGCCTAATTCGAAAATCAAAAGCACAATCAGGGAAACACATGAATCACATACTCCATAACGGGTCTCAATTGTTCATTGACAGAAATTAAAGATCCATTTGGTTTTGCGCTAAAACAGAAGTACTAAACTACGAACTAAACTACATCACGGGTTCACGTGCAGAAGATTATGATTTAACTTCTGCACAGTAGTCATAAGAGGGCAGTACACATCAGAGTTTAAACGGGAACAAATTCCATACAACTGCTACTGCTATCCGACAATGAGGCAATCAAAGATCATCTTCAGTCATCGGCCGGGGGTGAGCGACTGCATAACAAATTAACATCAAGTAAAATGCACACAAAATAAGTTTTAGAAAAAAGATTTAAAAAGAAAAAAAAAAAAAAAAATCAAGTGGAAGAAAATAACCTGCGGTATCTGTCATTGTCGGGGCTATCAGCTCCACCATAATTGGGGCTGTCCCTAGCTTCAGGCATAGAATTTGGGCTAGGGCCACGACCATTGTCAGGGCTACCTTCTCTTCCATAGGGACTTCCACTGCCTTGACGACCATTGTCAGGACTAGACCTCTCTCTTCCATATGGACTGCGGCTGGGTCCACGAACATTGTCAGGGCTTGGCTTCTCTCTCCGATATGGACTGCGACTAGATCCATGGCCATTTTCAGGGCTACCTCTCTCTCTTCGGTAAGGACTACGGCTAGGGCCACGGCCATGATCAGCACCACTCTCTTTTTTATAAGGACTACGGCTAGTACCCCGTCCATAATCAGGGCTGCGACGATCTCTCCTATAGGGACTTGGGCTGCGAACACGACCATAATCAGGGCTTGCCCTTTCTCTCCGATAAGGACTGCGGCTAGAGCCACGACCATAATCAGGGCTTCCCCTTTCTCTTCGGTAAGGGCTTGGGGATCTCCTTCTGCCCCTATCAGGTGACCTGTCGCGACTCCTATCAGGACTATGTCCATTCCTCCGATCATCATCATCACGAACTGCATACTCAACTGAAATAACTCGGTCCATCAACTTGCTGCAAACCACAAGATAAAAACATTAAGATAGAGTAAAAAGATATTAAAAAAATAAGATGATAAAGGTCAAAACAGACAGCCAAAAAAAAAAAAAAAAAATTCATGAAGATCAACCTCATATTTGTAGTTTCCAATGCTCTGGTGGCATCCTCCTGTGCTTCATATTGAACAAATGCAAAATTCCTTCTGATCCTTACACTTACTATCTTTCCATATGGCTCAAAGTGCCTTTCCAAGTCCCTAGTCCGGGTATGGTATGGATCAAAATTGATGACAAACAAGGTCTTTGATGGTCTTGTATTTGAAGAAGGTCTTCTTGAACCGCCGCCTGGTCTTCTAATACCACGTTCATGCTACAACAAAGAAATGAAAGAGCTCTTCTAAGGTGTTTAAGTAATCATAATAAAAGTTGAAATAAGATGAATGACAAAGTCATTTATCCAACCTACAAAAAATGTTGTACCTTTGTCCATTCAACACGAAGTCTGCGACCCTTGCGTCCAAACTCAGTCCGATCAAGCCCTCGAATGGCATCTTCTGCATCTCTCTCATCTTCCATATAAATAAAAGCAAACCCTAAATGCAACAGTGTAAAAGTTGAATAAATGTCATAACTTTTATACATCTTGAAGAAAAAGTTAAGAATCCTCCCATAAAAGGAATCTTCAATATGAGATGGCATTTTCTCCTTTCAGCATCATACAAACCACCTAAGTCCTACCTTAGAATAAAAATTTGGCAACCTCCGTGAAATCTATAAACTAACTGACCAGCAAAAGTAGTAACAGACCTTGTGTGATGAACTAAGTGATGTCAAGGAACAAGATTCCAAAAGTGGATGTCTCATGGTAGGTCAATGAATATAGAGAGCCTTCTCCATCTATTCTGATGCCTCTGCTGTGAGGTCGGCAATGTTTCTACGTTGAAACATGTCTGAAATTGAAGGCTGGGCAAAAGTCATGAGGAATGAAAAGGCAATGAGAAAAATGTGGTATGGTTGTGCCATTGCAGATGAGAGTGACTCTTCCTGAGAACAAGAAGAGGAAGCTCGTCACAGGCAGGAAATGGAATTCTGAAGAGTGCATCCATTAGCCGGGAGTATGGATATCCCAAGAAAATCCTGCGCCAAAGAAAATGTTGAGAATGGGGGTTTATGTTTCAAAAAAGATGTTTTTCTCTCTCAAACATATCCTCAAACCCCCACTGGAACTCAACAAGGGATGGATGCTGTTTCTGAGTCACGTATTCTGAAGTATTGCTGACAACCACGTAACATGAGGAGCTGCCATCTTCATGGACAGTGAATTGGACCGATTGAAGTGCCTTGTCAATGCTGGATTTAACTGCCTTTTTTATTTTGTGTGTGGTACCGAATTATCTACATCCTTTCATATACAGAATACTATGACAGAGTACAAGCATATAGGTAATTTTAATTGCAGTACGATGAACAAATTCACCTAACACACTAAGTGGAAAATGAACTACTAATTTCATTAGCATCTGCCTATAGAATGCATAATAATAGCGAAAGTCCACTCCATACAACATCCAATTCACACCATTCTGCCCTTCCTTCATTTCTTAATTTGAAGGATAAACTAAATTCAAATGCCAGACTAAATCATTAACATGAAGATAGTAAATAAATATTTCAACTTACTATTTATAAAGAAATTCAATCATGTAAAATTCCTGGAACTGAACATTGACTGTTGTTAGTTAAGGCAATTCAAGTTAATCGCTAACAATCATTTATACACTCATTTATGCATCTACAATAAAAGAAGTATGGAGTGACTGAGCCCAGTTGATCAAAAATCTAACTGAAGAATAAAATTTTGAAGCAAATTTTACATAGTGCCAACAATTGCCATCAAAACCATTACACAAACCAACTAAATGGATGCAATAGTAAATAAAAGAACATAAAGAGACTACTTACCAGACTTCATATCCACTCTATCAACTTTGCCATATCTTCTGAAAAGTCGTTCCAGATCAGATTGGCGCGCATCATACTCAAAGTTTCCACAGAATATAGGCCTCATCATACTTGGGCACAAAAAGAAAAAAAATTCACTACTTGTGAAGAGAGATAAAAATAATATAAAACAAACATGGACTTCAAATAACAAATTGTGCAAGTATTATGAAGATTCAATTATCGCATTCAGTCTACTAAAAAGCAATTCTCATATTGACTTTATGATAAATTTTAAATGCTTTCTTAACATATGCCAATAAATAAACACAATTAGGCCACTAAAAAGCGAAAACTTTTACCAAATCTTGGACTTCATTTACAAGAAAACAGCAAGAAACATCCAATTCTAATTGTATAGGCATCATCAAAATTTGTATCTTTGTACCATTTACATGTGCCTTACCAGAATTTTAAAAGCATAAAACAAATACGGAATAAGAATCTGTTGATCACTAACCAACATTTTATTTCCAATAGCTCAACGAAGAAAAAAAGTAAGACTACAACAGCCACAAAATTAATAAGAATCACTTCACGGAAAACAGAATAACAACCTTAATCGAAATGGCCATGGACGAACTTGTAATAAACAATGTATCAAGAGAAAATCCTTAGCAGCCTTTGCAACCCAAGAAGACGAAAGTAGTTCAGTTTTTCAATTCCTTTTTTATCTAACCTCACGCTCAACCCATTAAACATTATAAAATATTGAAAATTCTTTCACATTATTTTCTACCACTCTCCACGATAAGCACAGCTTAAAACCACACGTATAACTGAGGGTCTACATATGAGATAAAGTTCTATCAAGACATAGCTCCTTTATGTACATGCTTTCAATATGTACTTACGAGTAAAAAAGCGAAAAAAAAAGAAAAAAGAAAAAAAAAAGGTACAAATATTCCCAGGTTTTGAAGCATTTCTGTATATAATAAAAGAAAACAAAATATGAATTATGAATTAAACAATCCTCTGCAAATATGTGTTATCAAAGTAAATATCAATAACATCACAGTCAGATCTAAAACATATCAAAATTAACCAAGATCTGGTCAAACAAATAATAAGATTCAGATCTATCGTAAAAGAAAAAATAAACCTCAGATCTATCGTAAGAGAAAAAATAAACCACAGATCTGTGCAAAACCTGACGCTTAGTTACACAAAAGCTCGATAAAGAAGAGAAAATAAAAGCTAAATCTCCAAATCAGCAGATTTTTCAACTTTCTCTCGTAATTTCACCAAGAACCAAACACAAAAGAAGAAATTTCAAGAGAAAATCTCAGTTACAAGGGTATAAAGTCCTCTAATAGTTTATTCTTACCTGTAAGAGCAGCGATTGAAAGCTGTGAATGGAGCTTCGAAACCTAACCCAAACAGTCTTCAGAGATATTTTTGAAACGGCCAACAAAAAGTAAGTCAACAAATAAAAGAAGATGACGTTGATATAAGCAGCGCGACTGAGAGATACCCCTGCCTCTGTTAATATTTACAATTGTAGCCTTTTCTTTGATAAATTGTACAGGAAAATTACATCTTAATTGCATTTATTCAATTTTTTACATTCAAGGTAATGACTAATAAGGTATAATACAACTATACAAGGTAATAAAGTACAACGTGCGTATAATGTGTTTCAAAATACAAAATAAAATTTCAACACTACACTTATAAGATATAACTTAATAAAATTTTAATCATGGATTCAATACAATCCAATGGGTATAGAAATTGCTTAAGTGCCAAACAAAATAGATACCTCTAAACTATTTCTCATCCATTAAATTACAAATATCTACGGTTGAAAATCTGTGTCTCAATTAAAGTTAAAAGATATCGACATATATATATATATATGTCAAAACGAATAACAAATTATGAAAGTCATATGAATATTCTGAGTGATGGAATCATTTAGGTAATTTATCAATAAATATTAAAATCACAAGCAGAATTTAAGAATTTCAATATATACCCTAAATTTTCATCATAATTGTCAATTTTATAAGTGTTTCAGATACGATGTCTAATATTAAATAAAGTTTATGGGGTGCTATATGTCGTTTGACGTGATAAATTCATCCAATCCAACCAAGAGGAAAAATAAAAATTAAGAAAAAAATATGCATTAAAAACTTGAATTGATCATTAGGAATGTGATTTTGATTTTTGAAACAACAGGGCAGATCGTATCTTCAGTCATAGAACCGGGCCTACTCTTTGGGCTTGGATTCACTATTATCCACTAAATATTTTTCATTGAGAAATCTAAAGATGAGGTTATTATTTGGACCCACGTTTTCTATAATAAGCCCATCTCTTTTGGTACAAAATTGTAGTGATTAGAAACCCAACCTGTGTAGTGACCCGCCCAAGCCACTGGGCCCGGGTCGAGCGGTTTGATCAGTTTGACCCATCGGTCAAACTGATATCCAAAGTTTAAAATCTAACAAAGATACCCCTAAAAATTATGTAAGTTCTTGTGGGTTTGAAATTTTGCAAAAACACCCTAAACACCACTGTCGGCATAGGCAAATAAGACATGTTTCCGACAATGACAACACTCCCTATCACCATGAAAACACTCTTCTAAGTCTCCTGACCCAAACTCATCTCACTCCTCCCCCGTTCACCTCCCTAATCACTAGCGACAAAGGGCTTTTTCCAATGACGTTGTTTTTTTTGCAATTTGTCGGTCGATTTACTCACCGAAAATCGACGCCGTTGCCTAGGGTGTTAAAAAAAAAAATAAAAACTGAACGCAACCAGAAAACTGGTTAACGGTTCGGTTATGTTTGAAAAATTCAAAACAACTAAATTTTCGGTTTTGGTACGGTTCGGGAAAAAAAAAAAAAGCGGTTAACTGAAACCGGTTTTTTGGAATTTAAAATATTATTATAAAATAAAAAAAAAATATTATTATTATTAATAAAAAACTAATAAGATTATTATTATATATTAAATAAAAAAATTAATATTTTTAAGTTTGTTGTAGTGATCAATTGATATATATGAAATTTAATTTTATTTGGATAGTATTATTTATATTTACAATTTAGTTTAAGAAAAAAAAAAAAATAAGTTTTATAAAAAAAAAAAAGAGAAAACTGAACCAATAAAGGCTCCGGGTCACTGTTCAACGGATGGCCGGTTCCTAATAGGATAAACCCAAATTCCAGTCAATTGAATTATGTCCAGACACAAGAATGTCAAAATAAAATAAAAGAAAAGAGAAGTATGAAGAAAGGTCTTGAAAAGAACTGACTTACTGTGATTGAAAGAAAACCACATTGATACAATGGCAAGACAGTAATTTTGTAGTAGATTAGGTTCAATTAATTATATTGTGTTGATGAAACGAAAAGTTGAGCTGAGTCTTAGCTAATTGGGTCTCGCGTTTTGTATTTGTTGATGAAGACGATGAATAATTCCAACACAACCATAAACAGGGTCTTCCACTCGATGTCGTGCCTCGAAACTCAACGAATCTGCTGCTTCCGCTCGTAGATTTGCTGGAAGTTGCTGAAAATTTAAAAAATAATGAACCTCAAAGCAAACATCTATAACTCATATTATCAGAATGTATATATTCATACACATAATACATTAATTCTCGATGGACTAAAGTTTAAAGATTATTATTTTTAAAATGAAAAAAGATTTTACTTTTCCCAGACCGTAGCTGTCAGCAGACACGAAACCCAGTAAAAAACAAAGAAAAAATGGCGCAAAAATGCAGACATAAAAGCAGAAGCAGCAGTACATAAAAGCAGAAGCCGCAGTACTAAGTGATAGCGTCAAAACAATGAAAAAGCAGTAGAAAGTACCCATAGGTGAAAATATCAGTGACATTAATTAAATAGTACCTGCAGCATCTTTGCGACATTGCTGGCACCATGGATTTTGTGAACACAAGCAAATCTTTGAGGATCATTGGCTGGAAAATAAAGAGAGAAAATGCAATCTGAAGGGCACCTTCTTCGCAGATATTTGCAAGCTGCACAGCGACCACCACCAGGCATCATTAATCTATTCTCAGATAAATCTAATAATAAATCTTTACCCACAAAGATCCTTAGAACAAAATATTTAGGAAGATATATGTATATTTTTTTTGTTCTAGTATCTTTCTATTAGATTTTCGTATTTGTAGTGAAAGGTCTTGAGAGATTTTGCAACGGCTACTTTTGACATTCAAAACAATTGGGATTTGAGAAGGAAAGTTGGGGACGATGGACAGTAATTCCTATTTTATTGCAAGAAATAATATTTTTCAAATTGGTAAGAGTGCTAGATTTAACAACCAAAAAAGAAAAAAACTATATATATATATATAGGCTTAGCTTTTATTTATGGGCTTTGGCTCAACAAGGGGATGGATCATGTTGGTCTAATTTCATTTATTTGTTCTATAGTCTTTGTATTTATTATTTTATTTGTTTTCTTTTAGTTACATAATGTTTAGGGGTTAAAAATAATTTTTATTCTTATTAATAATCAACATCTCCTATCCTATTTTCAATTCTAACTCCAATCAAATATGAACTATTTTAAGTTAAAATAATACCAGGCTTACAAATTTTATTATGCTCGAAATGGTTATCGTGGTTGTTGATTTGAGGATGGTAGGTTTTAGTTTTTCTTTCGTTGGGTTTTTGCTGCTGCATAGCTAAGCTGTCTAGGCTATGAAGTTTATGGCATGTTATTTGGAGGAATGGTATTCCTCTGAGCTTGGCATGGCAGGCCTTTGTACTGGATGATGATTGGGATGGTTGGGGACTATGTGGGTGTATTCCTCTGGGGAGTTTTTTTGGACTATGGGTCGCTGTAATTTGCTAGCTTACTGCGGCCTCCTTATTTTGGCTGGTTTATCTTAGTGTTGTGTGAGCTGTTCAGGCCGAAAAATGTCTCCACTCCTGTTGTTCTTTGTTCATTCTTTAATACAATTTCCAGTTACCGAAAACAAAATTATATTATACTTTTTTTTAATGCAAATATTGATGGGTTAGTATTGTACAACTGTTATATATTCTCTAGTTTATTTAAGTTAATTTATGTTTAATTTCGTTAAAAGTTGAATACCAGACAATAATTTGGTATCGACAGTCTGAAACTTTTAATAAGTGAATGAAAGAAATTTAAAGACCAAAATGGAGGACATATAAACAGTTAGCAGCCAGAGAGAAGTTGTAGTGACAGTGGTTTAAAGACAAATCATAAAGTTTGTAATGTAAGAATTAAGAACTTGAACGACCAATTGTGCATCGAAATTCAAACTGATGACCTATCTTTCACAAAACTAAATGACAAGTCATGCTATAAAGAGAATCAAAGTTGTTATGCCTAAAAAATATAAGGGCTGACGTTAGGTCCATTCAGCCCACAAAAGTCATATCATTGGAACAACCACCGTCTGCTTCCGTTAAGATAGTGGGTGCGCGTCAAGCCAGTCAGGAGCTGTGGTGCTCCCACGTGTCCAATCCCTGCTCTAAATCGCGCAAATCACTCTGGAAGGTGGGCAATGTGACATAAAGATGGATTTGTACGGATAATCCCACCAACTTACAGATTTAGTGATCACTGCCTCAATGCATCCCACTATAAATTGGGAGCTCCTCTTTCATCAAGGGGGATTGGCACATTTTACGCTTAATTAATTATTATCTCTTTTCCTAGAATTCTTAGCATTTGATACCTTGTAATATTATTGTAAAGTCAGTACTCAGCTAAAAGCGACCTGACCCTTATCATCAATATAAGCATCAGTGGACGTAGGATTTGCTACCTTAGCATCCGAACCACTTTAAAAATTGTCCCTATTGCATTTACTATCTCATTATTCTTCACATTCACGTGTGTCTTCTGGGTCAGTTTAACATTTCACACGTGCGTTTCGTTGGTGTAAAAATCACGCATCAACAAAAGCCAACAAGTTTGTGAGTTCAGGGCGGATCCAGTGGCCGACCCAGGATTTTTGCCTGGGGGGCCCCCTCGCTCCGCCACTGTTTGTCAATCAACTAGTGAAAACATAAAAAAATAACATCCAATTCACAAGGAAACACAAGAAAATTGTTACGTGGAAAAACCTCTTCAATATGGAATTAAAGCAAAACGCAACAACTTAACTAATTAAATAAAATGCTAAAAAAAATGTCAAGGTGTTGATTTCACCTAAATACACTAACCCAAATCATAGAATCTATTATCCAAGTTCTAATTCCTTGATTGAAAATCGAATTCTCTAAGTTGTAAAACATACATTCTCAGGCTATATTTTCCTACTTATCCCTATTAACCTTCCGCACCCAACAAAATGAAGATTAATAATTCAAAGTCTTTTAAGCTTTATGGAATTCTATCTAGATTTCATAAATATTTGAATATATCTCTAGTGTTTGCTTAATCTACGGTATTTATCCCAAGAGGCACAATCACAAATCACTTCTCAGTCTCATTATGAACAACACACATTTGAATGGTGATCAAGCATCCAAAAGTTATTAAGCAAAGAGATAAACACTCAATCATGAAATTAAAACTCAAAGTAAATCAATTCATATAAATTTGAATCATTATATCAAGGTTACATCAAACCCTAACTAAACAACTCAGTTCATAGTAAAAAACAAAACAAAATAACAAAAAAAAACTGAATCAAGATTTATCTTGAAAAATAAGCAAAAGATGGAGAAATCTTCTCTAATTTGAAGCACAAATCTTCAATAATCTTCTCCTCCCAAGAGTTGCCTTCCAAATGACGAACCAAGACCCTTTTTCTTTCATTTTCATGATAATTTATACCTCTTTCACTTAAGGATCAAGCCCTAGCAAGCTAAAACGCATCACTTTATTTTTCACATCTGACGCAGTTTCGTCGCGGCAAAGCTTTTTCCTTACCGCGGCGAGAATCTTTCAGGCTAAATTTGAGCATGAAAGAGTCTGAATCTGGAAAAGGGTTAAACATATGAATTATAGAACTTTAAATTATGTTTCTACTAGTTCAAGAATCAGCACAATCCGAGGTCTACAGCTCAAGTTATGGTAGAAATACTGAAGTACGTCTAAAGACATTTTTCTTCAGTTTCTAACATACTGTTCACGACTTCAAGCCAAGTTTTCACCCTTGTCCAGTCAGAATTAGGAAAAACCCAAAACATTAAAGTTGTAGCTCTACTTCTTATCTTTCCAAAGCTTCTAAAATCAGATCATTCTGAGTTTCCAAGCTCAAGTTATGCAATTTACGCTCAAAACTATTATTTATGCTCAAAATCATTGTTTAAGCCTGCAGAGACAAATTAATAGAATTATGTAGTAATTATGGCCCAAATTGTATGAGAAATATCCTAAATCTTATCGAAATTCAATGCAAAATCATAGGAAAAAATAGAATTATCATTTACAACAACCACTAATCCACCAAAAATATTCTACACAAATTTAGAGCTCAATCATAACTCTAACAAAAATAAAATACACAAAGGTTTACAAAAAGATGGATTACAATCACTCCAGATCCGCATGTAAAAGGTAAGTTGGGAATTGGGGAACAAAAACTTCAATATAAAAAAGACAAATCCTAAGGCTCCGTTTGGTTCACATTTTTATGTTTTTGGGAAAAGTTTTTTGAAAAAAGTTAAAAAAAAGTTGAATTAGGTGGGTATTACAATGTAGGATTTACAAATTAATAAAATACCCCCTATGTTTTTTTTTTACAAAATACCCCTATAATAAAACATTAAAAGTTAACAAAAATACCTGCAACCCACCCATCAAATACGGACAGTTGACCACCACCGCCGAAGGGTGGCCGGAGTCACCGTATCGGCGTATGACCGGTTGAATCTTGCCGGTCGTGCGCCGATATGGCCTTTTCCGACCAGATCCACGGTGGATCTGGCCGGCAAAGGCCAGATCTACGGCTAGATCTAGCCATTGATGGCCAGATTTGGGCGTAGATCTTCGTCAACGACGGCCAAAGATACAGCCGTCGTTGATGGTCAACGACAACCATATGTTGGCCGTCGTTAACGACTGGTTACGGCCAAAGATCTGGGCTTTTCCGGCTAGATCCACCGTGGATCTGGCCGAAAAAGGCTAGATCGGCGCACTACAGACAAGATCCAGCCGGTAGTGTGCCATCCTACCAGATTCCGGCCAACTTCCGGTAGTGGTGGCCGAAATTTGGTATAATGTGGGTTTAGGGGTGTTTTGGCAATTTTGAAAAAAAATATTTAGGAGTATTTAATTAAATTAACAAATTTAAGATGTTTAAAAAAAGTTGAATAATATTGGATAATATTGTGAGTTTTTGGGCATTTTACTGTTTAACTTTATTGGGAATACTAAAAGTAGTATTCCCAAAGTTGAGCCAAACGAAGCCTAACTTTTTAATTTTTTAACTTTTTACTGTTTTTTTACCTTTTAAAAAAACTTTTCAAATCTTTTTTTAAAGTTGAGGGCAGGCCTGGGCCTGGGTCCGCCCCTGGACGGATCCAATACTTGTTGAGGGTGGGCCATTTAAAAAAAAAAAAAAAAAACTAATATATATAATTTCTGGATTTTGGCCCTTCTAACAGAAATATTAATGGACAAAAATATTAATATGTAATTAGTTTTTATTTTAGTCCACCCTAATAGAAATTTTTGGATCCGCTACTGTGTGAGTTGATAGGTAAATAAAGAGTAAACGACTTTTTCCCACCCAAATAATGGCTTAATGACACTTTTCCACCCAGAAAATTTTAAAATACCACTTTACTATTTAGATTATTATTTTATTTCCGATTATGGCATCATTACGACCCCATACCACCGTAATTCTCTTCCCCAATCATCACTCACCAAAACCCCTCAAACCCTACTATTGTTGACTTTGCCAATCTTTGGCAATCGAGCGATTAGGGTTTGCACAACTGCTCCTAGATCTTAAGTCAAATTTTGATCAATCCCAACCACCAAAATCCAACTTTCCACCACCAAAACACTTATCGGCATCTCCTCTTCAAAAACCCTATTAGTTTGGGCTGAGTTTACTTTTTGTTCGCTGCTAAAATATGAATTTGAATAGTAAAATGGTATTTTAAATGTCTATGGGTGAAAAAGTATTATTAAACCGTTATTTGGGTGGGCAAAAGTCTTTAACTCATAAATAAACTCAAACGGCAAGTCGTGGTAGAAATAAATTCAAATTCACAAAAAGATTTTATTAAAAAAAAAAAAAAATTAGAGTCTAGGAGTACGAGAAGAGATTTTAGCACACAACTTATAATTAAAATTAACAAGACAAAGATAAAATATAATTATTTAAAAAGTCTCTTAATTTATTAGCAATTAAAACTTCAAAGTTTATACTCAAACGCAATGGCAAAAGCCAACAAGACAAAGATAAAATATAATTATTTAAAAAGTCTCCCGCTTAATTTATTAGCAATTAAAAGATTATACTCAAACGCAATGACAAAAACCAAGAACTACTACTTAAGAAAACTAGAAATTGAACTGAATCCAATCCATAGAAGCTGATAGAAGTTTATCCATGACTGGATTTAGATCCTTCCCAGATTGCCGATCATTCTCTCAGAATGGGTGATCTTTAAACAAAGAGTTCAAGAACTCGTCCCATTCCTGCAGTGAGAACCAAACACATTTTCTTTAAGAAAAGTTTCCAAAAACTCTGAAACTTAAGTTAAATTGAAGCCATTAATTTGAGGTTAAAAATTGTGGACATACCTGATTTCCTGAAAGGGCAGTGTCCATTAACAGGTAATTTAGCTCAGAGTTGACCTGGCCTTCGTTTCCTTGTTGCTACAGTAATATAAAAACCAGTGGGTTAGGGTTACATGAATGGAAGTAAAGATTGATATGAAGTGAGAACTAGACTTGCCTGGTCAAGGTTTTCATTAAACATTGGGAAGTAGTCATCCATTGGATTGTTCCCATTCTCCAAGTCTGGGTTCATAGCTTCTTCAATCTCCTGAAGCTGCATAAGATATATAAACTTAATTAGAAGTAATTTTGTTTTATAAAAAAAATCTGGAAATATTGCTTCTATTATTTATAACAAAATGAAGGAAGAATTAGCCATGCCTGATCAAGAGTTGGTTCATTATTAAGGCGAGGATCATTTTCTTCAACACCAAATGCGCTAGAAAAGTCCAGGTTCAAGGATAAATTGCCTGGAGGATTCATTTCAGCAAAATTTGACCTGGTAGGAAAGTTAGGGTTCGGGCCACCTTCACTCCCTTGTTGCTATACATATCAAAACTTGTTGTCAATAAGAAAATAAAGAATTTGGGTGAAAGCTAATTGGTTTGCTAAAAATATAATTAAATTGATATTAAGCAAGATTATAATAAAATTTACTCACCTGATACGGAAATAGACAGTTTGTTGTCCCAGACAGAATGTCAGAAATGTTGCCTTCCCTGAGTTGCTGTGGATTACCAAACACAGAAGCATTATTCATCAAATCAGAAGTAAAATTATTTTGTCCATTGTTGCGGCCGAGACCATATTGTTGCAGTGGTGGCAGGATTGGAGTGCTTTCTTGTTGATTAACACTGGCAAATGCTGGTTGGAATGGGTAATTTGCACGATCAAACTCTGTAGAAGAAGACTCTCCAGGAGGGAAATAACCAAATGTAGCACTTCCCGCTGGGCCAATATTCATATTGTCATTGTGAGCCGGATTGATCAAGCCACAACCAGCATTCAGAAAATTACCATCGAGTGCCATTTGGCCAATTGGAGAGAGCTCCATATCATCAGTTATTGACATCCCAGCATAATTTGGAGGAAGGTTGATAATTCCTGGAGTTCCAAAATTCATATCTGGCCTTGCCTGAGACTGTTGAGGATACATTTGCATTGGATTGGTGCCATTCAGAAGACCACCGGGCATGCCTCCAAGGGAAAACAAATTGTTTCCAAAGTCATTTGATCCCATTCCAAAAGTGGGGAGATTTGCCTGACCGAGAGGATTTGTGGTTCCAAAATTTGGTTGATAAAGATTAGCTTCATTTCCCAGCTGCAAACCGAGTTGAGACACATAACCTTGCCTTGAACCAATGTTGCCACCATTAAGAGCTGAGGTACTGCCTCCATAACCTGCTAGTTGAAATGAAGTTCTGGTTGGCTGCCTTCCTTGGAATTGTTTATTGTCTTGTTGAGCATGTTTAAGCTGCAACGAGGATTGCCCTGATTTTGCAAAAGTACTGGACATAACGTTCCTACTGGAGAAGTTCTTAGTTGTAACAATAATGCCTTTCTCTGCAACTCGTTTCAGGAAGAGTCGGTACTTCTGCAAAATTCACAGCACATATACTACCATTATTTGAAGTAAATTTTCAAAAATTATTTCATTTAATTATTGAGATTGAACCTAACTTGTGTTTTTTTTCAATGTAAATCAGTTGTATAAGTCATATAGGATCATCTCAACCAACCAATTCAAAATAAAACTCCATTAAGAAATTGTAAAGTGTACATATATATATATATATATTATCATTATTATTATTATTATATTATTATTATATATATTATTATATATTTAACTGTATTGAGATAACAAAACTTTATATTTTAGTGCAATAACCATATATAATATATGCCAATTACGGGGGCATGTTTAATTACAACTCAATTAATTAGGAAGGTGAAATTTATGTAGTAATTATGAGCAAACCTGCAAATGGCTAGCGACATTTTCTCTAGTTAAGCCTGGCACATTCATGCACTCAAGAATTTTCTTGGGGACAGCCTCTGCATGAATTTCACAGAACAGAAGATCACAAACAATAAAAATATTATTCATTAATCAAAAGAAGTAACAAGAGAATGACAACATTATTATTACAAGTAACAAATAATATAAACTTACTTTCTAGGCTTATAAGCTTTATGGCTTGCAAAAAACGATTGTGAAGAGAATTTGTCCAAACCACCTTGGCCTTCTTTGGAGCAACGGAGTTTTCTCCTTCCATGTAGTCCTTACCCTTTTTGATAGCCTTTCTCTTGTGATCTTTCTTTTTTACATGCCTTTCTTCGTTGACAGATGATGCTGAACTAATATCCTCATGAGCTAAGGATCCTCCGAATTGGATGCTTCCAATGTCCTCAATGTACAGAGATTTACCTTTCTTAGATGTAATGGCATATTGCCACACATTTTTCAGATCATCTGGGTTGATTGGTTTCACTATGTAAAACACAGCTCCACTGGCTAAGCTCTCCAGTATGACACTCTCTCTGTCATCTGAGGACATTACTGCAATTGATAAATTAAGAAATATTCATGTTAATTAATTAAACATAACACTTACAATATAATAAAAAAAGTATAAAACTTTTCAATCAAAATGGTACTAACTAATGACAGGCAAATGTTTAAATTCTTCCTCGATTTGTCTTTGCAGTTCTATGCCGTTCATTTCAGGCATGTGGAGGTCGGTAAGGACGAGGTCGATACGATCATGCCGAGTCCTGACTGTAGCTAGAGCATCCACTGGGGACTTGACAGTCATAGCTGAAATATAAAGAGACAAAATAACCAGGTAAATCAACATGCAAATAAATAAATATAGTGTTATTGCAAGAGAGAATTTGAAATGGTTATAATCAAGCATATATTAATATATTTAACAGGCAGAATGGAAACTAATACCTCGATCTGAGTAATAAAAACATATATAACAGTACAAGGCCATTTAATTTAAAGAACAAAAATAAAATTAAAGCTTTCAAATTGTTTTACTATTAAGAAAATAGAGAAAATATAAAATTTGATTACCAATAAAGAAGTAATAATTTTTCTATGTGATTAATTCACAAATAATATTTCAAATACAACATTTTCATCTCTTATTCAGTCTTAACAAGAGTATGATGTACATCGTGTACATGCATACTTTACTTTATATCTAAAACAATCCTTTTCGTTGTATAAAAAAATGGAAAACAAAGCACT